AGGTTCGCTTACAGACATCTTGGGAGACCCCTGCCTGCTTTCCCTGGCCCAGAAATTGCCCAATCTGGTTGTCTGCACCAGCTGCAGAAACATCCCAAACGCCTGCACATCAACCCCAAGGAAGACCCCTTCCAGGGCTCCCACCACAAGCCTCGTCTGCCTGTCCCCTGCTCATGGTCTCTGGGCCAGAGGGAGACACAGGTGCTACAAATGCAGTCCAGGGTCAGACAGAGGAGCAGGGCGGGGACCTGCCTGGGGAGGTGGCCCATGTCAACAGGGAGTGCTGAGATGTCCCCTCTGGGAAGGTGTGCAGCTGGCTTCGCAGCTGGCTGACTCAGGGACTGTAATCACCTTCTGGCAGCTTGGAAACGACCTGAGCATCTGTTGTGGGGGTTTTGTCTTTGCTCATGGGCCTGCTTTCCCATTTTGCTGCATTGGGTTTCAAGCACACAATCGAGCAGAGAGAGCAGTACAATGGTCCCGTATGCCACTGACCCCATCCCCTCCTCTGAAGGATCTTCAGGAAGGCCTCTCTGGGTGGTGGACAGAGGGGACAGATGGTTCCGGGGACAGAGGCAGTGGGGGCGGGTGGCTATCTCTGGGGTCCAAGCAGTGCCAGCTGGCTCTACAGTGGGACGACAGAGAAGGGGGACAGATCTATGGGGTGTTTAAGACACCAAACAAGAAAGCCTGGGGACACAGGGTGGGACAGCGTTTGTGCCAACCAGGGCTAGACACTGCTTTCATGGGGTCCACTTGGGAGCCCCCCCATGCAGCCCTTCAGCTATGGCAGGGCTGCTGCTCGGCCTTGGCCTGGGGCTGCCCCTCATCTCTGTGTAAGGGCAGCTCCTGGGGTCATCACAAGGGATGTTCAGAGAACAAGCAGCGGGAGCCCCGCCTCCACGATAGGAAGCACCGTGCTGAAATGGGGAGGGCAAGGCGGTGCTCATTCATTCTCACTCACACTGGCACACAGGCTCTGTCAAGATTGGCAGGCATGGGCTCGGGGCAGCAGTGGGCGACCACCCACACACAGGGGCTTCCAGCTCTGGGCACGCATGTCCAGCATGAAGTACACGTGCCCTTCAGAAATCATACTCGTACAGTTATTTAAAAACAATCTGAATGACAACTTGCAAAGGAAAATCATGCATAATCCCTGCTGTAACAACCTGTACTCATTGTTCTGTGTTTCCTCCCGGAACGTCCCTCTGCCCGTGCGTGAACACACACTATTACACACACATACACACACATGTATTCACATATGTATACTCTCTTTTTACATATATCCTGTACATGAACATTCTATATACCTTCTTTCTTTATACATATGCGTACTCTACATCCATGTGTACACATTGATATATGTAAATAGAAATACATAAATAGGTAAGTAAATACACTTAATTTAAATTAATACTCATCTGTTTCCCCACCAGGCTTGTACTCAGCATTTCTATTGTCTGGATAATACCCCACTCTGGGCCTCTAACCCTGTTTATCAAGATATGCCCTGAACACAGAATGTTTGATGCATTTTCAAAGTCGTAGTCACTAGTTCTGCCAGTATTTGCCAACCAGCTCTGTGCTGGCCCTTGTCAGCCTGGTCTCTTCATGGTCTGTCACGCAGACTGCCCCCAGTGCACGCCATCAGGAGGGGACAGGCAGCAAGTAACTAGACAAGAGACGGTCACAAAGGGAGTGGGGGTGGAGGGACAGAGACATGACACCAGGCTCTTTGCCTACTAGTGAGTGATGTCCCTGACCCTGCACCAGCCCAGCCCACTCAGTCTGCCAAACAGGACCGGGCACCTCAGGACAGGACTGGCCGCAGGGCCTGGCTTCAGATGAAACTCGGACCCCTTGCTCATAAACAGTGACAACAGAGCTTCCAAGCAAGTGCTGGCCTGTCCACAGGCCTTGGCTGCCTCTTTGGACTAGAAGAGCTGATACTAGGATTCTGGCCCAGTCACGGCCCCTCTAAAGAAAAAGGTCTTCAGGGCGCTTACTGACAACGGCAAGGGACTTAGCGAGGGGACCACCGCCGCAGGGCAGAGAGCTCGGGCTCACGTCTGAACACAGCCCCCGGACGTGGGATCCACGGCCAGGGAGCTGGTGCGGCACCTGAGCAAGGACGGAGGACTGAGAAGAAACACCGAGGTGGGGACACCGGGGCTGAGGCCCCGCTGGGACTTTTACAGAGGGCGACCTGGGTGACCGGCCAGCACTGGCGGCCCTCAGCATCTCAGAATGTGACGGTGTTTGGACACGGGCTCTTCCTGAGGTGCTTCCGGTAAAAGGAGATCACGAGCACAGGTCCTCACCCCGTCTGACCAGGGTCCCTCTGAGACAAGGCGACGAGGACACACGCCTCCGAGGGAGCGGCAGCTGAGGACGCAGAGTGCCTGGGAGGGGCCAGTCCTGCCGGTGCCCGCAGCCCCAGGACTGAGCGTCTGCGCTGCGGAACCCGGGTGTGAGGACCGGCTCGGCCTAGCGCGCACCCGCCACCTGGGCCGTTAGGAAGGCAATCACTGTTCTCTTGCTAGACGAGCCAGACAAACTTCCACCCCACGGAAAGACAGACGAGAGCAAGCGGATGTGTGACAACTGGCGGGGCGTCCGCTCTCGGTGCTCGGAGCTCAGCTGGGCCAGCTGCAGGGCTGCAGGGCCCGCCGGGAAGGCAGCCGCTCTGCTCATTTCTGTCGTCCCGTCTGAGATGCTGAGGCACCTGACGGCCACGGGAAGGCAGGCTCATGGCCAGCAGAGAGCGACTGAAAATGTGGGCACACAGGCCACCGCTGTCCCTGGCCTGGGGCTGGAGGCCGGGCCTGGGGGTCCTTCTGCGCCTCCAGCCACGCACACCAGACAGTTCACGCGGTTTCTCAAGGATGGAAGTGCCGCCTGATAGAGGCGCCCACAAAGCCGTGTGGCCCACGGTGTGGCCGGATGAGGGGAGCTCAGGGCCTCAGACCCCCCGGAGGAGAAGCCTGAGCTTAAGGAGATGAGCCAGCTGGGTCACCAGCGGGACCCCTGAGCCCCCGGGGGGCCTCCGTGGGCCGGTCTGTGGAGGGATTCGGATGGAGCTGGGGTACACAGGCCCCGGGACCCCCAGGGGGAGACCCAGTGGTGCCAGGGCTGCCCAGGGGGCAGGCCAGCCCACGTCTGTGCACAGTGGCCGAGGGGTTCCTGGTCAGGGTGCATTCCAGAAGGGGGGATGTGGGCGCTGATGGGCAGGAGGGTCCAGCATGTGGGTTCTCCCTGTCAGCTCCCCATCACAGCCCCTCCCCCACCACGGCCCCCCCAGCAGCTGCTCAAGGTCCAGCCCCACTCCACCCTGTCAGCGAGGGGGTCGGGACAGGCTGGGCTCAGGACCCAGCGGCACTCTTCCATCAGGGAAGTGGGGCGCTTGAGCTGGGGTGCCCCGCCCCCCGTGCCCCTACCCTGCTCTGGGCCACCGAGCCTGGGCCTGCTTGTGGGCACTCCCTCCCCATGCCCATCTCTGTCTATCCCAGTCCAGATATGGGATCACCTGCCTGCACATTGGGGACGCCCCTCCTAGCCTTGCTGTCCCACTGTCTGTCTGTCCCACCACTGCCCACATGGCCTGGCTGGGCCAGCTGCCTGTTTGCTCTCAGAACACCAATGTCCACCCAGGGGACGTCCTCGTTTGAACAAGCAGCTCAACTAAGGATCACGGGGCGCTTACCCCGGCCGCTGGGGGTTGGTCTGGCCTCCCAGCCCGACCCGACCCTAAAGCACAGCCCCTCCTGCCTGTTCCCAAGGGGCTGCCTAAGAAGGCCGTGTGTGGATCAGGGGGCCCTGGAGGTGCCCAGAGAAGTGGGGTGAGCCAGCCAGACCCCCGAGGTGCCAAGGGCCACGAGTCCTATCCCTGATGTCACTCCCTGGCTGGGCTGCCCTGGGAGGGGACGTAAGCTGCCGTCCAAAGTCAGCACATGGGTCTCAGCTCAGCTGCCCACACAGGGCAAGGCCTGTGGCCACTCCCTCCCTCCCCGTCGGGGCGACCCACCACGGGGTACCTGCGGGTGGGGAGCTCTAATGGCCCCGATGTCTTCTTCCACCACAACCGACCCAAGAGCTGTGTCCTAGGCAGGGTCCCAGCCCGGACCCTGGCCATGGACCAGCATCTGACCACAGCATGCACCGCAAGGAAAGTAAGGGGAGGTGCTGGCCCTGTGGCCCCCTTCACCCAGACCTGCCGGACCGATGTTTGTCCCCCACCTGCCCCCTCAGCCTCCATCCCCAGCATCCTCCTGCCCTAGCTTGGGCCTGCCTCATGCCTCACGGAGGTCACCTGCCTCCTACACGCGATTTGTCCCTCCAGCCGGAATAGTCCCCCCGGACCGGCGTGCCTGGGCAGATACAGACGATCTGCCACCAAGGTCTCCCAGGTAAACGTCTGACGGAACAAGGAGGCGGACGGGGAGCCCCAAGGGAAGGAGGCTGTCAGTCCCCGAGGCTCTGAGGGGCGCAGGCGCTGGGGGCCCGTGGGGGCAGCAGACGATGTGGGGGAGCCTGGACCTCACTGCAGGTGGACGGCGGGGGCAGGAGCCAGCAGAGAGAGGGGCGCATTGTCCGCTTCTCGGGCCTATCCCTTCCCACCAGCGTGGCCTACGCCTGGGGCACAGGAAAGGCAGGGGGCCCACCCCCCACGGGAGAGCACGTCAAACCCCCCCGGAGTGGTTTTTATCTGAGTTTGTGCGACGCTGGTGTGTGCACAAAGACAAGTCGCGGCTGCAAGCCGAGTGTAGACGACACCTGGACCTTTCCTTTTTTCTTGGTCCTAACCCAGCTCCCAGGGCTGGGGAGTGTGTCCTGCTGCCCGCTCAGGGGAGGCCGCGGTAAGCATGAGCGGGGGACTCACAAGCATGTTGACTGGGAGTGGGGAGTGGGGAGCAGGGGTCAGCTCTCAGCTGAGGCTGCGTCGGCGGGGGGCCTCCCCTCCCCCAGGGCTGCCCCACAGACCCCGGCTTCCTGGATCAGGAGGGGAAGGTGGGCGCCTCGGCCAGCGGGCGGGCCATGCTCTGGATGGCCCACTGCAGGATTCCGTCGAAGGAGTGCTGCAAGACAGCAGAGCAGGGACTCGGGGACCGAGCACAGCCCACAGACAGCTGTGCACAGCCTGGCCGCCAGGGTCACCAGGCATTCTGAGCACCCTGACCCTCCCATTCAGAGGTAGGGAAACTGAGGCCCAAGGCACCACAAGACGTGCCAGGCGGGGATGGACTCCTCATCCAGTGCTCCATCATAGCATCCTGTAAGCACGGGGCGAGGCCACTGCGGCTGTTCTGCCCCTTCTTCTGGGGGCTCTCTCCCTCCCTGCACTCAGGGGCCTGGTCTCCGGCAGCTGCCCCTGCCAGAGCTACAGGGCCTGGGGTCCCCCCCAAAGACACCTGAACTGTGTGGGACACCCCTGCGCCCAGCCCACCGCACAGGGCAGGGCCCCACGACCCGAGGAGGACACATGTTGGCCCCCTGGCTCTGGGGATGGCTGGAGGAGTCTGACCCCTGTCAAAAGAAGGCGGAACCCCTAGAAGCCCCGGTTTCTTCCCAGTGACTGAAGCTGCTCATCCTTGGGGGCAGAGGCCTGGGTTGATGGGGCCGTGAGAGGTCCACTGAGAGGTTCCGGGGCGCCTGACCCACCCCCGGAGGACGCCAGGATTCAGCAGTGCTGGTGTGAGGTTCTGCAGTCCCCGGACCCCAGGGTCTAGGACCCCCGGACAGGGCTGGAGGCGGGAAGGGCTCAGGGCCCCCTGTGGGCTCCTGCATGTGCGGGGAGGGGCCTGCATGGGCCTGTTGTGATGCTTGGGAGCCCCAGAGAAGGGGGCTGTCCCAGCCGCTGGGCAGGCTTGGGTGCCGGCTGCTTTAGGGACCAGTGGGTGATATGTTACCTCGCTTAGGAGGGATTCCAGGTCGTCCCTGTGCAGAACCGGCTCGTGACCAGCAGAACTGTCCCCTGCCTGCAGCCCAGGAAAGGAAGGTCAGCCCAGCTTCCGCACCCCTGCTAGGGACCGCCAAAAGGAAGCAGGACTCCCTGCTGAGGCAACGGGGCTGGGGGGGTGCCCTAGGGGCAGAGGCTCATGCCAGAGCAGTGGGGCCGCTGCCCCAGGCAGGGCCCCGGGATCTGAATTCTAGCACCTGGCTCCTCCCAGGCTGCTGGGCACGGGCAGGGTGGGCATGAGCGAGCTCCTAACTGCTAGCCAGGCCCCGGCTCCCCTGGAAGCTGGTTCCCCGAGGCTCCCAGGGCCTGCCTGCCTCCACCTGTACGCGCAGCCTTCTAGGGAAAGCCAGGCAACTTAGAGAACCAGCTAGCAGGGAACCTGTCATGGATGGGGAAACTGAGGCCCAGAGAGGAAAGTGCCTGGTCCTATGCCAGCCATTCAACCATCCAACAAACACTGCCAGAGCCCATGGTGCCCCTGGCTAAGGGGCCAGGCCAGGGAACGAACCACACAGGAGACAGCCAGCTTCTGGCTCAAAATCGCCAAGTCCAAGCTCATCAACACGGGTCTTGGGAGGCAGCACCAGCCCGAGGGCGGGAAGGGGGAGCACAGCCTCCAAGGCTTGTCTGGTGGGGGGGCGGGGCTGGGGGAAAAAAGGTCCGGGGCCACACCCACATTCTTGGGACTGCGCCTGGGGAAGGTGGGGCCGGGTGGGGGGGGGGCTAAGGGGGCGGGACGGCTACTCTCCAAGGTCATTACATTTTACATCTCAAGGACGAGCTCTTTTAAAAGCAAAGATCCCAGGTGTCCAAGAGGAAGCATCTTCTTTCGGGAAGGACCCCCTAGGGTGGGGCGGGCACCCCCGCGCGCTTGAGCGTGCGCGGTGCAGACGGGTGGGGACGAGCCTTCCAGGCCGACCCGCAAAGCGCGCGCAGGCAGGTGCGGGCCAGGCTGTGGGGCTGTGCGGCAGTCCCCTCGTGGGCACGGCCTTGGCCCCCCAGTTCCTGGGCTGGCCTGTTACCCACACAGCGTGTCCGGGGAGTAGGTGGTACTGTCGGGAAGGAGGCTGGGCCACGGATGGGAGTGGGACTTCTCACCTCCCCCAGGGCCCTCAGAGGATGTCCTGGGGTCAGGGACACGTCAGGAAGCCTGCATACAGGACTCCCAGCCCTCGGGGCTCCCGGGACCAGTGCCGCTCAGCCGGAAGGCAGACTGACGACCACGACCACGGAGAACTCTCCCGGCTGGAGGCAGGAGGGGGCTGCAGGGGGGCCTGGGGCGGGGGCGCCCAGAGGGGCCAGAGGACTAGGAGCCCCGTGCAGCCCGGCCACACTGGGCAGCCCAGCGGGCTTGCTCTTCCCAGGTGTGGGGCCTCCGTGCTGCTCCCGCCTCACCCCCACCCACCGGGGCTATGTGCGCCCCAGGGACTGGGAGAGGGGGACTTGGGGCTGGGCTCGGTCACCGTGAAACGGGTCCAACCGCCAACTCATACCACTGTTGCTGAGTGGGTGTCCCTTTCAAACCGATGCTAAGTTACCCAAAAGGGGCCCGTTTGAACAACTGTAACGTGTGAAAACAACCAACGAGGGGTTCATTGGTGCTCACCCGGGAAGCGGGCACCTGGGCAGTCCCTGGAGGTGTCCCGGCCACCCCAATCCCGCGGGGTCAGGGCCTCCCCGAGTAGCACTGACCTTGGCAGGCTCTAGCGCAGCGCGGGCGGGATTTGGGGCGGTCGCCCCCTCCTCGGGGGCGGGGTCTGCGTCTCCGGAGCAGGATCGGCAGCGCGGGACGGCCCTGCGCACAGCCGACAGGGTGTCGGGGGCGCCGCGGCCAGTGGTGTCCCTCCCCGGCCCAGCGCCCCAGCCGTCGTCGCACTCACCCTGGCCGCGCGACGGCCCCGGGGAAGTGGCAGCGCCAGTGGAAGGCGGCGGCGCAGTGCGCGCACCGCAGCGCGTCCGTGCCGTCCCCGCACACGCCGCACCGCGCGCCCGCGGGACCCTGGAGGGGAGCAGCGCGGTGTCGGGAGGACAGGGGGACACGCACGGCCACGCCCTCTGCCCCGCCCCCGGGAGCTCAGGGACACCGGCACCCTCGGACTGCAGCTGGGAGAGACCTCCTCTGCCTTGGTGGGCCCAGACCCCCTTTTTAGGGCTGGTCAAGGGGACCCCAGGACTGCACCCCCAGAGGAGTCGGGAGGGTGTGGGGGACTGGGACTCCCCAACATGAGGGGCCACCCCCCTTATCGTGGTAGCTGGGGGTAGGGGTCTCAGGATCAGGGACAGAATCTCACTCCCGCTGGGGTCCCTCCGGAAGCTTCCTTCCCGGCCCAGCTCTGGGGGCGCTCCTCCATCACCCAGCCCCCGGGCCTCCCTCTCCATGGCCAGTCTGGCGGCTCTTGGCAAAGGCCTCCCTCAGCCCTGAGACTGACCCCCCCATCTGACAACAACCCCTCTCCCCCAGCGTGTCAGAGCTCCATGTGGGGGCCTGCAGGCCCTGAGCCCCCAGCAGACAGCCACCCGACCCCAGCACCCCCTCACCTGCTGCCCCTCAGGGCCCACACACAGTAGGGGGCGCAGGGCTGAGGGGTCCAGCACCGGCAAGGGGGCTGCCGAAGGTGGGGCGGGCAGGTGCTTGTAGGGGGCAGCGGTGTCGGTCCCGACCAGGGTCTCCCTGGACAGTCCCTTCGCCTCTTCTCCTGTCAGCCTCAGTCCCAGAAGGACCTGGAACCGGGGGGTCAGTGCTTGGAGAGGCCACAGGGGGACTGGCACAGGGCCACCCAGGGAGTCAGTGATCCCCGGACCCTGGGAGCCCAGGGGAGCTGGTGTCGGGGAACCCCACACTGGGTTGAAAAGGTTTGGGTCCAGTTGCTCAGCAAGGTCCTTGCACCCCCATCTGAGGTGGGGTGTCTGTGGCCCTCGCAGGGTGTCTGTGGCCCTCGCGGGCTGTCGGTGAGCTCAGTCTGTACCGCGGCCTGTATTCTATCACCTGCGTCTCCGCTCCAGCCAGATGCTCAAAACATTCTGAGAGAATGTTCTCAGTAGCCGAAGGGCATCCCTGTGCTGGACCGACAGAGCTGAGGCCAGAGAAATGGGGCCACTGGAAGGGCCACTTCCCAGTGTGGAAAGCTGAGCCGGTGAGGCCAGGCCGGGCGGGGAGCGCACAGCTGCATGGCTGGGGCCGGCCCGACCTGCAGGAGCGGCCAGGAGGCTGGACAGAGGGTCCTGGAAGGGGCCTGCGCGTACCGGGGGCTCCGCGGGCGGCTCCGGGGGCGGGGGCTCCTCGGCCCGGGGCAGGTCCGGCGGGGCTCTTGCCTGCAGGCATCTGGAACACCTCCACGTCCCGCTGCTCCCGTGGCCACCAGCCGGGGGCGTGCAAGGCGAGCAGAAGGGACAGTAGACTCCCAATGCGCAGGGCAGGGGAGGCCTGAAGTTCCCTCCAAGTCACCCCTTTCCCTTTTCAGGTGGGGAAACGGAGGCCCAGGCAGGCCAGTGGGCAAAGCCACGATGGAGGCGCTGGCCCGGCCAGTCTGCAGGAGAGCCCAGGACACTGGGGAGGTTACCCCTGGTGGGGTGGCCCTCGCTAGCCTCGTCGGTGTCCTGTCTGAGAGCGTCTCTGCCAAGCCCCGAGAATCTGGGACTCCTGCTAACCTAGAGATCCTGGGCGTGGCTCTCATGGGCCCCGCGTCCGTGGGACCTCTCTGAACTGGGGTGTTTATACCCCCCGGACCCACGTTTCCACAAGCAGGTGGTGCCCAGCAGAAGGGGACATGGTCAAGGGCAGGAAGGAAGACGGCAGCCCCGCCCCGACCCTCTCATTCCAGTGACAAGCATCTGGGGCTCAGAAACAAGCCACCGGGTCAAGGTCACTCAGGGGGCTGGGCCAGGATGGAAGTGGGGGTCACTTGTCCCACCCAGGCTCTTCCCCTCCTGCTGTGGGAGCTGGTGGGAGAGGCTAGGGCTGGGAGTATCGGGTCAGGGAGAGCCAGGAGGCAGACTCCGGACAGGTACCCTGCCTGGGATGGGCACACTCGGCCTGACTTTGAAGACGACCTTGCTTGGAGAGGGGGGGACCGGCGGCTTGGGGGAGTTTGGGCTGGTGGGTGTGCGGTGAGATGGGACAGGATGGCTGTTTGTCACCAGGAGCCTTCTTTCTTCTCTGCCCTCTGGGGCCCCCTCCTGGCCAGGCTTAGGGAATGATGGGGGACCAGTGTGGGCACACGGGGAGGTGGGGAGGGAGGACCCAGGCCCCAGCCTCACGTCCAGTGATGTAAACGAAGGCCTCCCTCCCAGCTGCGGAACGGAGAAACTTCTGGGCAGCCTCCTGCCCAGGGTCAGGGTCCGCTGGGTAGAAGAGGCCATGGAGGCAGGCGGGGGCAGCCTGGGTGGCCAGCATGCCGGGCTCACCTGGGAATGTCCCGGAGCGGCGGGGACAGGCAGGCCAGGTGGAAGGCCCGGGGGCAGCCGTCGCAGCAGATGAGCTCCCCGCCATCCCGGCACACGGCACACTCGTCCTCGTTCTTCTGACGCGGGCAAGACACACGAAGCCTCTGGAAGATCCCGGGGTGGGGGGCGCCCTCCCGGGGAGCCCCTCAGAGCAGCTCCACTGCCGCATCCCCTGCCTGCTCCCAGCTGGCCCGTGCCCCAGATTCTGCCCCTGCTCCCTGCCCTCCCCAATGTCCCCACCTCTGAGATGTCCCCACCTCGCAGCCCAAATGGTGCCACAGTCCCCTCCGCGGGGTCACCTCCTCCAGAAGCCCACCAGACCAGGCAGCCTTGCACAGCGATGAGCACACTCGTTGTCATAACCAGCCCCCCGCCCCCGGCCACTGCCTTCCGGGGAGCCCTTGGAGGCAGGCAGGGATCCCGCCCTTCCTGAGTGCCTGGGGCCCAGCACCCTGCCCGGTATGGGAGGGGGGCTGTCAGAGCCGTGACCTTGCGCTGGGAGCCCAAGAACAGAACTGATGCTCCGCTTCCTGACTCCCAGCAGGGGCCACCCCCCACCCACTGGCCCGCTGGGAGACAAGGGACAGCGGGTCCTAGACCAGACCGTGGTGGTCAAAGCCCGGTAGGACTCGCTTTCCTTGACTTACTTGGAATTTTACGGTTGTGTGTTACCAGAAAGAGTAGTGCTAAAGGAAAGCCGGGCCTCTGTCCTCACCCCCACGGGAGTGCCCCGGGCTCGGGGCAGAAGGTGATGGAGGCATGTTCCACCCCCTCCCCCCGTGGGCGGAGCATTACCTGGTGGGGCTGGGGCTCGCTGGGGAGGGCGGGAGCCGCCCGTGCCCTGCCCTGCTGGCCAGCTCTCAGCTCACCTCCGCCCTGCTGGGGGAAAGGGGGGGTCACCACCAGAGGAGCCCCGCCGGCAGGCCCTGCCTCAGCTGAGCTCCCGGTTCAGAGGTCGGTGCTTACGGGGGCAGAAGCCTGGGGCCCCTTGGCCCGGACCAGTGTCTTCAGGCCGCTGCCCCGCGTCTTGCTCTTCGCGCTGGGGTCTTCGAACTTGCTGGGGGTGTAAAACTCCCCCCCGACCTGGATGCACTTCTTAGCTCGGCCTGGGAGGAGAGGCCGGCTGGGCCCCGCTCAGCGGCCCCGGGACCGGGCGCCCTGGGCAGGCTCTCGGCTGCCGGCTCCTGCCACGTCCCCGCCCCGCTCAGCCCCGCTCCGCTAGGGACCAGGCTCCTGAGGGACGCTGGGGACACTGGGTCCGATGACGGGTGCCCCCAAGAAGAGCGGAGAGGACACATACACAGGGAGGAGACCCTGTGGCTGGGCGGCAGACAACAGGGTGGAGGCCTGCGGGCATCCCAGGGGAGGGAGCTGCGAGGCGGGAAAGTTTCCTCCGGAGCCTTCCGAGGCAGCAAGGCCCTGCGACACCTTGATCTGGGGAGTCCTGTTGTTCGAAGCTGCCTGCTTCGTGGCCGTTGGTCATAACTGCCATGGGGAGCTCCTGCAGGGTCCTCGGGGCCCTCCCTGGGACCCTCCCTGGCTCCCAGGGACCAGCTGGCCCTCACTGTGCTCAGCATCCCCATGGACAGCTGCCCAGCTCAGAGGGAGGGAAGGGAGGTGGGGGGTAGGCTGTCCTGTGGGAGAACCTCCTGTGGGGGGGGGCGGTGAGTCCAAGACCCTGAGGGGCCCGTCTGAATGTGCAGAGCTGACCCAGGCTGTGGCCCTGGACCGCCGGCCCCCCAGAAGTCCAGGGCCCCGCACCCCCGAGGGGAGCCCTTGGTGCCCATCCCCCCTCCAGAGGTAGCAGAGTCATGGTCCCACCAGCGCTGGGGCCGCCAGGTGCTCAGGGTGGTCGGGGTTCAGGGGGCCTACGTCCCTCCTGCAGCCCCCCCCCCCCGCGAGCCGTCTACCTGACTCGAACACCTGCTGGATGAGGATCCCCTCCACCGCCCCACAGGCTCCTGGGACATCCCCCGACGACACCGTCACAGCCCTCTGGACCGAAGTGGACATGGTCTGAATTCCTGAGAAGAGGAGAGGCAGATGGGGGGTCACCCATCGCAAGGAGAGCCCCTGAACACCGCCTTGCTGCAGGCGGTGGGGGGGCGAGAGGTGCCTGGGCTGTGGAACCCTTCTTTCCTTCTGCCCAGGGCGGGCGTTGGAGGGGGCCCAGCCCCTCGCAGACAGACAGCCCATGAGTAACTGTAGAGAGAACCCGTGGGTGTGTGTGCATGTGCGTGTGCGTGCTGGGTGTGTGTGGGAGCTCACTCCGCACGGCGGGCAGGGATGAACATGGACCCCAGCACTTGGCCCTGGGCTGCTGGGAGGGAGGCCAAGTTCTGGGGCGGCCTGCAGGCCAGGTGACCACAGGAGGTCTCTGAGGTCCCCCAGGCTTGGGGCAAGGAGGGGACAGAGAGGGGCCAGGCTTCATCCAGCAGACGGACAAGCAGGACACTCTGGAGGAAGCGTGGTCTGGGCTGACCCTGAAGGACGGGGACACGGGGCCAGCCACATGTGGGGTGATCTGAGACGCCAGGACAGGCCCTCCGAGGGCAGCACCCCACCTCGCCTGGCTCACCGGTTCCCGGCGGGAGGCGCTGTGGCTCCGCGCTGCTCTCGGGCTTCTTGGACGGCTTGGCCTTCGCCTGGGAGCCTGCAGGGGGAGCGCACCAGCCCTGCCCTCATCTCCCTGCTGGGGTCAAGGTGGGGCCTCCCCAACTCCCTTTGGTCCCCTTGCTTTACTGAGCTCTGGTGTCCACATCCTGCCCACTTCCCAGGGTCCTGGGACAAGGGACGGCTAGGCTCACCCTCTAGGTATCCAGAGGGGACCTCTGCAGCCCCTGCTGGGCAGGCTCTTGGCCAGGCGGTGGGGAAGGGGGTGTGGTCGGGGGTGAGGCGCTCCCCAGGGCAGTCTGTGGCCGACTAGCTCCTCAACTAGGCACCTGGGCTGGAGGTCCCCTGTGGAGACGATGCCACAGGCAGGGCGACCCTTGGCTCCTCCGGGGCCTTCCTCTTGGTGGGGGGTCTGGGCAGCAGCACTGGGGCCTTGGGGCCCGTCGGGGGCTTCCTCCCCTTCCGGGGCTGGCTGAGGTCCACATCTGCAGGGTGCGAGGGGGGCCGAGCCTCAAGACCGGAGCCCCCACCATGGCAAGGAGGGCAAGACCCCGGCCCTTCGGCACGCAGAGGCCAGGACGGTCCTGGGTGATGTCCAGGGGCTCCCTAACCATGCCCCGACCCTCCCTCCTCAGTCCAGCTGGAGTGACTCCAGCTGCCGCAGGCCCCCAGCGAGAGGGGCCGAGCCCCGTGGGACCCCCGCACCCCCACGGTGCCCTCCCCACCTTTGGGGAAGCCGTCTAAGATGGGCTGTAGCCGGGCATATCTCTCCAGGTTGTAGTCCTTAAAGAGAACCCTCCAGAAGTCCAGGATGGCAGCTGCGTCCTGGGTCAGGAGCCATGAGAGGAGCGCGTGGAAGGCCTGTGGGCAGCCTTCCTTCTCCTTCAGACGCAGAGTCTCCTGAAGCAAGGGCGGGGAGTGGGAGGCCCTGCCGCCTGCCTCCCCAGTACCCCCACTTCCTGACACCCTCCTGGAGGGTGCTGCAGGAGACGTGGGCGCTGTGTCCATGCCCCTGCGTTGAGGTGGGCGTGGCCATGCCCGAGGGTGCTTGGGGCGAGGGAGGCCGGCCTGGGACTCGGCTACCACACCCCTGGCTTGGAGGGCAGCTTCAGGAGGGCTGGGAGGGGGCATCGGGAGGACGGGAACTTGTCCTGGAGGCCAGGCCCCTGACCTGTGATCACACCAGCAGCCCCCGTCCCAACCTTCTGACACCCACTCGTGGGGGGCCAGTAAGGCCCATCTGAAGCTCGTCCTCCCAGACGTCGGCTCTGGCTCGACGGCAGGGCTTGGGGAGACTGGGGGGTGCCGGGAGTCCGGATTGGGGCCCACCTGGAACTTGTCCTCGGGGACCACGTCGTGGTCGGCCAGCGCGTGCAGCAGCGGGAAGGCGCTGTCCACGGCCACGGCGATCTCTGTGCGGTGCAGCCTCAGGAGACGGCGCAGCACAGCGTCCCCACCTGCCCGGGCCTCGCCCACCGTCGTGGGTTCTGGGGGCATGGGACTCGGGGCCCCCTCTCCCCGCCTGGGGTCGCGCGGCCTTGGGATGCCACTGGACTTGGGGAGTGTCTGGGCCATCTCTGCCTTCTGGCCCGCGCGGCCCTGTCCGGGGGCACAGTGGGGCGGGCACCTGTGGAGGGCTGAGCCCAGTCAGCACCCCATCTCTATTATAGCAGACTCTCCCCGAAAAGAGCAAAGGCTGTTCCCCAGAGCCAATCAGGGCCAGAGGGAGGGGCCAGCATGGAAAATTCCGTGTAATCCAGTGAGGACAAGGCCCCAGGCCCCCCCAAGTTCCGCACCTGCCAGAAGGCCGCTGGCATCCCTCCCCTTTGTAAAGGAGGCTTCTGGACTGGGGCCGACCCCTCGGTGAGAGGGCTGGGAGGCAGCCAGCCCAGGCACCCTCCACCTCACCCAAGGCGCACGGGACACTCAGCCCGGGACCACGGGGCTGACTGGGGCAGGGCCCCCAGTGGGGAGTGGGCATTACCACCTCCATTGCTCAGGCCCCTGGGCCTGGGCTGTAGGAGGGTCAGATGGAGGAGTGACTGTCTGATGGAGGACTGAGTGCATGCCAGTGGGCACACACTGGGCATTGCCTGCAGGCTGTGTGACGCTGGCCCAGTTGCTTTCCCTCTCTGAGACCCACCTTCAACAGGAGCACACGCCCCGGGGGACCAGCTGCAATCCACCGGCCCCTTCCTGCAGGTGTGTTCGGAAAAAGCTTGGAGAAGGCAGCTGGCGCGGTGGACGGATGCCCCTGAGCGTGGGCCCCTGTCCTTGTCCTGCTCACGGCCCAGTGGAGGGACGCCCCAGGAGCCTTTCCAGGGCTGACGACAGAGGCTGGAGGGTGGTGCAGGGAATCGGGGAGGCCATCCTGGGGGGGTTGTAGCAGACAGGGGACCCGCATCCCAGGCTATGATGGGTGAGTGTGGGGGACCGGGTGCTGCCAGATCATGGGACCCAGCGTGGCCTAGGTCAGAGGCACAAGGGCCACAGATGAAAGGCACGTCCAGGCGGCCGGGCTTCAGAGCCACGGGAGGTCTTTTGGAAGAACCTGGACAGTCTTGGATGGGCTGGTGGTGAGTGTGGGGTGAGAGGACCCAGGAAGCCCGGGGTCAGGGCAGTGCTGGGCTGGGAGGAGGGGTCGCCCAGGCAACGGGAGGGGGCCCAGACAGATTCCGTGGGGGTGGGGGTGTCGCCAAGATCCCTCACGAGTTTAGGTCGCTATGTTCTCTACTGCGGTGGGAGTTCTGGGGGCGCTGCTGAGGGCCCCCTCCTCCTGCCACGGGAGGCCTGTGTGGGTTTGTCCCCCTCCCTGGGCTTGGGTCCCTCGGATTGCTGCCCGATGGGTGTTCTGGGGTGTTCAGGAACAAGCCTGGGCTCGGGCTGTGGGGGTCGTCACTCAGAGAGCTGGGACCTGTGTGTGGACCTCGAGAGCAATGAGGGTCAGAGCAGACGGGCCGGCTGTGGAATGTTCTGGCGCCTCCGGCCTGGGAGCAGGGCCCTCCTGCTCTGCCGGCCTCCAGGGCTGCGGGCCCAGCGGCTGCAGTGCTGTGGGTGGTGGCCACAGAGGGGTGGGGCTTGGGGCGGTCCCAGCCTGTCCTGCCTTGTGCCATCACAGTTGCCCAGAGGGAACACCCCCGGGCTCCCACTGACGCAGGGCCAGCCGCCCTCTCAGAGAAGCACATGCTCACCCCACCCCCGGCCAGGCCGCTCTGCACGCGGAATGCACTGTGACCTCTGAAAGAAAGCAAAAGTCGCAGTCACTGCTGACCGTAGCATCTGCTGGAGCAGCCGTGTCCCTGCTCATGGGGGTCTGGTCTCAGGGAGCCGAGCGCTTCGTGTCCCATCTGAGGGCACCTGCTGGGCCAGCAAGCCGCAGGGGTCCCACAGAGAGGCTCTAGGGGTGCTGAGGAGCCGTGCTGGTAGCGTTAGGGTGACCGCAGCCACCCCCCTGGCAGCTCGGTGTCCCCCTCCTTCGGGCCAAGCTGCTCTGCAGTGTCACGCCACAGCCGGCCGAGCTTTCCCCCAGCAGCCGACTCATCAAGGGACATTTAACCACAACACAACGGTCCAGGGGATAAAAATAGCCAAAAGGATTGAGTCTTCGCTTTTCTTGAGCTTCGAAAGCCTTGTGGGTACACCTGGGTCAGCAGCCGGCCCGGCCTGCAGGCGCCGCCCAGCTTCTCGCCAACAGATCTGCGAGGCTCCTTGGAGAATTTTGGACTTTCCACACCGTGGGGGTTTCCCTGGCAGCCCCCTCCTGCAGGGGCTGCTGGGGGCGGCCTATGAGACCCAGAGAGGAGCCAGGGCAAGGGGCCCACCCCGCCTTTAGCTGCCCCCGGCCGTTGGAGAGCTGGGCCTTACTCAGGTCCCCCTCGAGGCGCAGGGCACAGAGACCCGCCTGTCGCTCGGCTGGCCGTCTCCAAGCCTCTGTCCCCACCTGCGCGGGATCTCTTCCTCCGGCGTGGTCATTTTACGCACCAGACACGTCTCGCCCACCGCGCCCCGGGCCCTGTTCTGAGTACTTTGCAATTACACTCCATCTCACAGCTGCCCAGCTAGGCCAGCGTTGATGATCCCATTCTACAGATGAGGAGACTGAGGCCCAAGGAGGCTGTGAGTAAATGGCCTTGGATGGACGATGTCTGGGTCCACGCTCTCAGCACACAGGACACTGCTCACAGGCCCAGGCTGTGTCAGGTCAAAGAGGGGGAAATGTGATGTGCCCAGAGATCAGGGCAGGGTAGGGCAGAGACCGGAGGGGGCTGCTCCTCGGCTGCTCGGCTTGGCTCCTTCAAAGAAGCCTGGACTCGGTGACCTTCTGTGTTGCCGCAGATGGAGTCTTCAGAATGTGTGGCTCCCGGGAGGGGCTGGGCTCCCAGTGGTAAGGAGGTAGAGACCGCTTCAGGGCACTTGGGCCTCAGCTCGGGGAACAGGGCAGGAAGGGACTTCCCTCCTGGGAGGGCATCCAGGGAGGCTCTGTCTCCTGGTGACACTTTGCCAGGACCTTAACACCCTGTCAGCCACCAGTGAGCTGCATGACCCTGTCTGAGCCTCCGTTGGCCCATGAAAGATGCTCAACACTACTAATTCTTAGAGAAATGCAAAGGAAAACCAAATGAGAGGCCACCTCGCACCCACCAGGATGGCTATTATCCAAAACTAGAAAGTAGTATGTTGGCGGGAATATGGAGAAATTGGAACACTCATAAATTGTTGGGGGAATGCAAATGGTGCACCCACTGAGAAAAATGGCGGCTCCCCAGTAATTTCCTTCGTAAGTTAAGGTCTTCTTTTTTTTAAGATTTTATTTTTAAGTCATCTCCACACCCAACGTGGGGCTCAAACCCACAAACCCAGGATCAAGAGTCACAAGCTCCCCCGACCGAGTCAGCCAGGTACCTCAATATGCTGAATTCTTCGATAAGAATTACCGTAGTAGCCATTCCACTCCCAGCTGCACCCCCAAAGGAACTGAAAGGAGGTGTGCAAACAAAAGCCTGTGCAAAAATATCCACAGCAGCACTATTCAACAGCGGTTACGGGGCGGGAACGACCCAGGTGTTCATCTACGGAAGAATGGATACATCAAACGTAGCCTAGCCACAAGACGGAATTGTTCAGCCGTGAAAAAGATGGGATACAGAGCCTGCTGCAGTGCGGATACACCTCGAAAACGTGATGCTTGCTGAAGTAAGCCAGACGTAAAAGGCCACCCATTACACGGCTCCATTTATATGAAATTCCCAGAAGAGGCAAATCTGTAGAGACAGAAAACAGATCAGTGGCTTGCGGAGCTGGGAGAAGGGGAGTGGGGGTGACAGCGAATGGGTATGGAGTGTCCATGTGGGGTGACCAAAAAGTTCTGGAAATAGACAGTGATGGTTGCACACCATTACAGTGGACTAATTACTCCAGCATTTTGAACTTTCAAATGCTAAAACTTTTAAATCTTATGGTATGTTTATCTTACTATAAATAAAAACTCATTCTAAAAATCAGGCAGATGTATTGGTGGGGATCTATCTGTGGGTTCTCTGCTCTGTTCCACTGATCTGTGTATCTGTCCATCCACCAGTACCACACAGTCTCGAATACCACAGCCATATAATGAATTTTGAACTCCAGTAGGCCATCTCTGTCTGCTCCCATTTTACTTTTCTTTTTCAAAATTGTCTCTGTTACTCTAGTTCCTTTGATTTTCCATATAAATTTTAAAATATTCTATTTATACAAAATCTTGCTAGGATTTTGATAGGAATTACAGTGAACCTTTGTATCAATCTGAGGGAAATTAACACCTTTATTATGTTGAGTGTTGCAATCCATGAACATGGTCTGTCTCTCCATTTATCTAGACCTTCACCGATTTCTTCCATCAGTGTTTTGTGGTTTTCAGTATGTGAGTCCTACGCATGTTTTGTTAGACTTACATCTAAGCAGTTAATCTTTTGAGCAAGGGTAAATAGTTCTGCGATTCTATTTTTTTTTTTAAATATTGTATTTATTTATTTGACAGAAAGACACAGCGAGAGAGGGAACACAAGCAGGGGGAGTGAGAGAGGGAGAAGCAGGCTTCCCACCAAGCCGGGAGCCTGATGCGGGGCTCGATCCCAGAATCCTGGGATCATGACCTGAGCCGAAGGCAGACGCTTAACGACTGAGCCACCCAGGTGCCCCTGCGATTCTACTTTTGATGTCCACGTGTTTGTGCATTGTTAGTGCATAGAAATACAAATGATTTTTTTTTTTTTTTGCATGTTCATCTTACATCCCACAGCATTGCTGAACTCCCTGTATTGGTTCTAGAAGTGCTTTAGAATCTTTGGGATTTTCTACAAACACTGTCATGTCATCTGTAAACAGAAACAGTTTCATCTGTTCCTTCCCAGTCTATACGCCTGTTAATTTCCTTGCCTTGCCTTATTGCACTGCCTAGGACTTCCAGCACTATGTTGAATAGAAGTGATGGGCCTGGACATCCTTGCCTTGTTCCTGATCTCAGGGTGAAAACATCCTCTTGCATATTAAGTATAATGTTAGCTGCAGGTTTCTGGTAAGTTTTCTTTATCAAT